TTAAGGAAACTGTTTTTTATTATCATATATATACTTCATAGAAAAAGCAATGCTTCAAATAGGTCAGGAGACTATGACAAGTAATGCAGTTTGTACGTGTCACTCTATGTACATGTGGGAGCAGAGCTCTCTCCATGGTGGGGAAGCGGTTGCACTTGTCTGATGTCCCTTTGTAGACACATTCCTGAGCACACTTGGCGTGGCCCATGGCAACAGCTTTTCTTGCAGACAGTACATCTGCTCTCTTTACAATCTGCAGGAACCACTACTGGTGCAGTCACAGTTGGGGTCTATTTCAAATGGAAGTGAGTCACTGCCCAATAGGAAGAATGAATAGGCAGAGGTGCTGCTGGAGGTGTGCTCTAAGTCCATTTTGAACCTTCAAACTCATTATTTTTTTTAAGATTATTTTATTTTTTAAGACTTTTTAGAAGGATAGAGAACTATTGTACAATTTTACCATCCTGGTGTAAGGAGTTTCCATTGAGTGGAGAATTTTACATTAATTTTCTCTAAAGTATTATACTATTTAATCCAGTATTTCTAATCAAAATACAAAAAGCTACATATACACTAAGATGACTATTATGATGTTCTTCCCAATAGAAAAAAAATCAGAAATGTTCAAAATGGAAGTTGTTGTACAACATCTTCTGAAAATCATATAGTTGTTAAAATCAGTAGTATGAATGCTATGTACATGAAAATTCTCATGCTATAATGCAAGATGATAAAAAGCCCACATTTGTAGGTGTGTAAAAATATAAAAATGTATATTCACAAATTCATATAACTGGATATAATCTACATAATAGTTAAAATTATATGTCACTTGGTATTGAAACATTTCCTTTAATCTTTTTAGCTCACATTTCATAAAATGTGTCCTATAGCTATACCATGATTTTTCTCAATTCCCTAGGTATATTCTCATGGTCATCTTTTTCACTTACATTTTGAAATTATGACCAATATCCTATATGTCATATATTTATAATTGTATTTATAATTTAAGGTATAGAGGGTTTACAATCAGGATTGGAATTTTATTTGTTGGCTCAACTAAAGACATATCAATGAAGACAATATTTAAAAAGCTGTGGAGTAGGTTAAGAGAACCATCAAGCTGAGGTCTCTAGAGAGTCTAGTAACAATGGGAAGCCTGTGCCATGTCTAGGCTGTAGCATAAGGTCAGAAGTATGTCCAGCGTCTAGTAAGCTGGAACAATGGAGGAGGGAACACTTGTCAGGAGCTGCAGTTGTGAAGGAACATAGCCACCACCAGAGAAAGAATGGAGAAAACATACCCTGATGCCCCTTCCTTCCTGTCTTTCATCTCCTGCAAAAGCCCCAAAGGGATACCAGCTGGGGAGAGCCCAGGTGATGCTTTCCTAAGAGGCCATCTTCTGCAATCCAGTGAGTACAAGGAAGGGAGGAGAATGTATATAAGGGAAGGCAGACTGAAGAGCCTGAGAGTCTATGGGCTTTACCATCCAGCATCATTCTTGTCCTTTGCTCAGATGAATAGGAAACTGATCCCCTACTCACAGGAATCATGAAGTGTGACTAGTGTTAAACACAACAAACTTCTATAAGGCTTCTTGAAGACTTCTCCTCACTTAGACTTTGAACTCAGGGTCCTGTGTTCTTCCTTGCAGAGTCAATTTTAGCAAGAATCCTGCAAAGACAGTTTAAAGAAAATTCCTTGGATGTGGATATATGATTACCTTTGATATCTGATCAAATTCCTCATTCCCCACTACCTCTCAGGCAATCTCTGATCATTCTTACCTGCTTTTATCAAGAATTTTTAGATCAGTTTAGTAAGAATTCCCTCTGTCCTTCATGTCTCCACTTAGTAATTTTTCATCCACTGACTGCTTCTACCACCCTTGCTTCCTAGCTATAAACCTCCACTTCTCCTTGCTATATTTAAAGTGGAACCCAGTTCTCCAACAGAGCTCCTTTTCCCTCCTATTTCAGTAGTTCCTGAATAAAAGAAATTTTTATTCCCTTAACTACTGTCTGGCTTTGATTTTCTTTCTTTTTTTCTAATATTTTGCTTTCATTTGTAGTAGGACACAATACCTTTATTTTATTTATTCATTTATTTTTATGTGGTGCCGAGGATCGAATGCAGCGCCTCACATATGCTAGGCGAGCACTCTACTGCTGAGCCACAACCCCAGCCCCTGGCTCTGATTTTCTATAAGTCCCATCAGCTACCACATTGCCTTGAGTTGAGGTCAATTCAGGTGTACTCTCACTTAATTATTAAATTATATTTGTCTTCACCAGTACTCTTTATGCAAGGTAGCAAGAGAAAAGGGGCAGGGAAGGAATAGTGAATTAACACTTTATATGTGGAGCTACTATAATTCCTGCCTCTCCAGTTTCTTGCTGAGCTAAAGTTGATAATCATAGCTTCCTATTCATTCACTCATGTTCCCCCTGCCCTCTGCCAGCACCTTGGTAGATCAGGATTTTTTTACCTGAAGTAGTGATATAACACTTCAATTTTTGCATAATCTGAAATTTAATTGGTCCCAACTTTATTGGCTTACTGCAGTTATCTAATGATCATTATTATTGTTCATGAGAGGACTAGGAGATACCCAGTGAATCTCTGGTTGTCACACATAGTTTTCCTTGCCCTTCTTGAATAGCTACAACTCAATTTCCTTTTAGTAATTGGGATCAATCTTCTCAATTTTGTCACTATGATGAACCAAAATTATCAGAGGGCACTTTCAGCTTCCAATTCCCTAGAACCATGTCTGGATTCTCTAATGGAAGCATTTCTTCCTTTTGAACTAGGACTTTCAAGCATGACAAACCCAAGATCAGAGGAATGGTGTACTGCATATTTTCTGGTTTTCCCTCTAGGCATTGCGCTTAGGAGCCTGACTACCATAGACTGCATCAACCTGACTTCCTGTCTTCTGGCTGTCATGTGGATCTAGCCAATGGAAGACCTGACAGGATATGGGAGCATGGAAGGACAGAGAAGTGGGCCTTCTATCTTCACTCTGTTTCCACTTTGAAGTGAGGTCCCAGCAGCGGCTACAACTATAGAATCTCATCCTGCTCTGCCAAAGGTTGGCATTGACTCTCTATAAACAATTGGCTGCTATTGGGTAACCTCTCCTGTAGCTGCAGCTTCAAATCTCACCTGGTTTTGGTAATTTCCCCCTCTTTCTCTCCTTCAGACTTAGAATTAGTAGCAGTTCTCATTGTTCTGGCTACTACAATTTATTAAATCCTTTTTGCCAGACAGTTTGTCTAACTATATTATCTTATTTGGTCCTAATAACCCAATAAATTAGATGTTTTTAATTGTATTATAGAGGTGATAATGTGAGAGGGTGACAATGACAGCTGAAAATTGAATCTAGGTGTGTTCATGCCAGTATGTGCACTCAAACACTACTCCATGCTCTCAAATGTTACTTCCTAGTTCGTGGAACAGTTTTAACATCGCTTAAAAAGTTAAACCTCCTCTTGGATTTGCTCCTGACAACACACTCTTGCTCCCACAACTGGAAGTGGGGATGTTGTTGCAATTTTTCCATTGAACCATTGAACAAATAGTGTTTGAAAGCTAAATACTGAGGGCTGGACCTTTCTCAAGGCTAGAGACTAGTGAAATCCATTTGAAATCTATGCTACTACCCCAGGCCATTTGATAACAAAGGATAGCTCTTCAAATAGTCCCTCAAGGAGGCTGGGAGAGAAACTTAGTTTACTCAAGAGAAAAATTGCTGGTCTGAATGAAAAGTGGCATTTCTCAGAGGAGCAGAGGATAAATATGGCTTTATCCAAAAAAGAACCCATAATTCCAGTCAAGTTTGTTCCTTTTATGTATGTATATTTTGCTACTTTAATGGTGGCAGCTTTCCAGCTGAGGAAACAAGCACTTATTTGAGATTTCCATTCTACTTCTTCTGCCTTAAAAACAACTGCTGACATTTTTAGATGAAATGTAACTGGCAAAATCAAGAAAGACTATTTAAGCTCACTAGATGTCAAATATCAGCTACAATTGCAATGGTGTCATACCCCTATTAAATTAGCTAGTTAGTAGAATATACACATGTGTATACAAGTGTGTACATATGTGAATATATATACACATGCAGAAATGCCCTCTGCCTTACCAGGTAACAAAAGCTCCAAGAGGAAGGATTAAAACTCTTTCTATGTGATCAACTGTTTTGTTCGGAGACCCCAACTCATTAACTAAAACTGAGTGTTTAATAAACATCTGTTTGTTTGAAAACTTGCCAATGAAGTCATGGTGAAGCTGAAGTACATTTTCAAAGAACCTGTTTTATAATGTCTTTCCACTTTTCAAGTTATTTCAGAATTATCAGTACTTTTATCTTTTTAACAGTACTAGTTTCTAAACAGTAAACTATATAAATTGACTCAGTCCTTCTTTTAAAAAAATTAAATATTCTGATTATGGTTTATTTTTAATATATTTTTCTGTCCTTTATTTAGCATTGCAATGTACTTATTTATATCATGTTTTATGGTTTTTTTTTTTTTTACACTGGGGATTGAACCCAGAGGAAATTGGCATGAATCTACATCCCCAGTTCTTTTTATTTATTTACTTGTTATTTAAAAAAATCTTTTATTGATTTTATTTTTTAAAAAAATACACGACAGCAATAGAATACATTACAATTCGACATCATGTTTTAGTGCAACTTACGAGTATCAGGCCAGAGAAAATTGCTCTGTAAATATAAAAATGTAAACAAAATACAAATTCCATTACCAAAAAAACCCAAAAACAACAATAAAAAAACAAACAAACAACAACAACAAAACGACTGCTGAGTTGTTATGTTTTTGAATTTGCCTCTTCCACACACCTGTTCCACTTTCATTCTCCCCTCGACCGGAAGAATACTCAGGCTTCTGTTACGATTGCGGGCCCTTTAAGAAAGCCAAGGGCCGCACTGATTGGCTGGGGCTCCTAACAACTGTCATGGCCAGCCAATCCCGAGGCTCTGTGGGCAGGGCCTCGTCCCCGCCGCGGTACAAGGGGGCCCTAGCTTGCAGGCCTCTGCAGCCATCACCTGGTCACCGCGCCCCTTTACTCATAGCCGGTGAGTGAGCGCCCACCGCGGGCGTGTGGGGAGGGAGGGTCGGCACCGCAGCGTTGGCCGGCGCAGCTCCCGGGCCCGGGCTGGAGAGGCGGCTCTCCCACTGCCCCTGGTGCTGATAGCTATTGCCAACCTCATTTCAGAAAAGCTGGTTCTGTTTGCATTGACCTGAGGTCTCTTTGTATTGTTAGAATGGAGTTGGGAAAAGTCGCTGAGGAAATCAGCATGCCACTTGAGCGGAATGTCTCAATTACAGAAATTGCGTCCAAAATCGAGAGTGGAGATTATTACAGAAAGCCTCCTGTCACCGGGTTGAAATTTGCAGAGGGGAATGGCCTAGTTTGGATCGCAGACGTTTATTGAAAATCATTGTGATTATGCGATCAGTCATAAATTCAAGCAATTTTTTTTTAAATCAGGAAATAAGTGCAGAAATTTGGATGTTAGAAGTCATGGAATTCATATTCTCTCTCTGAAAATCAAATTCAGGTTTCCAAGGATGGCCACAGAAAGACTGCCTGGATTGTGCAATTCTCCTCCGGGCAAATAAATCTTCCCTCAGTAATCTATAGGACAGCCAAGATAGGGCTGGAGCATTACAGACTCTCCCAAGGTCTCACAAGTACTGAAGGCAGAAGAGATCCCAAGTCAATTTTCTCAGCCTTCTGAGACTCACCTGTGTCATACATTGTAAAAGTAGTAACACATTTGTAATCCATGATAAAGTGTTGGATTTTTGACAGATTTATCTCATAAAAAAATCAATGAAATAAAAGTTATTTCTATTGCTTATTTTCTGATAATTTTTTTTTGTGTGAGTGGGAGACAGAAAGTTGAGAATATTCTGAACATCTTAAGGAACACTCCCAGACTTTGGAAAATGGATTGTTTACCAGTAAGAAAAGGGAGGAGGTTTGAAAAACTCCATTGAGGGCAAAGTTTACAAGGTGTGGCACACAAATTTTCAGGTGTAGTCTCTTGAAAGAGAGATTTTTTTTCTGCCCAGCTTCCACCTTTAATCCTTGTATCTGGGAGTGTCACATAATCTGTCTGAACTATAAACCCAGTCCCAAGGAAGCAAGGCCCAGAAAGAAGTAAATCTAAATCCTAACTTTATAGAATGTTTCTCTTCTCTAGATGATTGACATGAGGACTGTCCCACTTCAGGGGAGATCCCACCCCCTTACAAACAGAAGCACTCTAAGGGACACAGAATGGTGACATACAGACTGTGTGCATAAAAACTAGAGGACAAATGTTTTCTTTATGTTTGCAGCAGATGTAAAAATTCAATAATTCTGTACATATGCAGAAGAAAAAATAATAAGGAACGGCAATGACTTGAGCCAAAGTTCTTGTACTTTGCTTTATGCAAACACTGTGTTCTGCATCATTTGGTTTATGCAAACCCTGTGGGAAGAAGTCCATGGAGACTGTCAAGATGGATAACATATTGCTGGAGCATTTTAGGCAAGTTCTAGGTCTGCTGTCTGGTCAGTACATGGGGTGCTAAAACTTTTAGAAAGAAGAGAATTGCTAGTTCTTCTACCTTCATTAGGTGGCCTCTATCTTTGGCCACAGGTGTTGGAGTGGAACAGAGGGAGAGAACCTTATGATTACCCAGGTCTGTTCTGGGTCCTATCTTTTCTCTTTTGCCCAGTTTTAATGCTGATTCTGGCTCATTGGCCCCAATAATTCTAGGCTGTGTCCTTAGCCAGAACACAGGGAAGCCATTGAAGTCTGGTTTGTGGCTCCCACTCACCTGGAGCACCATTGGCAGGGGTAAACCATTCTACCTGACATTAAATACCCCCTTCAACATCTCCTAAATTAGCCAGAACCCAAGATTTTCTGATAGGAAGGATAGGAAAATAGGAGCTGTCTGGGCTTCTTAGAGAATACTTGTGACTCCTGGATATGAAGCATTAAGTCTGGCCACCCTCACATGAACTCCACCACACTATTCATCAGCCTACTAGAGGGGAGCAGTATCAGCAACATTGTTGAGGAAGGTAGAGAAGTTGTGACTTTCCCTGGGTTTTCCATCTTTTAGAAGTAAAATCAAGAACTAAGTGTATTCTCTATCTACCCAATTGGATAGAGAAAAAAATTTGGAATTCTGACCCACCCAGAATTGACAGTACTTCTCAGGGAAGATTATAAAGTAGAGGATAGAGATAATCTCTGATTTACATGGTGGTTTGACTTAGGATTTTTGACTTTATTATGGTGCAAATGCAACATGTATTCAATAGAAAGTATACTTCAAAATTTGAATTTCAGTCTTTTCCTGGGCTACAATATACAACAACCACTCCGTTTTTACTTTCAGTAAAGTATTTAATAAATTGCATGAAGTATCCAGCACTTTGTAAAATAGGCTTTGTGTTAGATGGCTTTGTCCAACTGTAGGCTAATGTAGGTGTTTTGTATATGTTTCAGGTAGTCTAGGCTAAGCTATGATGTTGGATGGGTTAGGGATATTAAATGCATTTTTGACAATGATATTTTCAATTTATAATGAGTTTAAATAAGTGGCATGTTGAAGAGGGACACGAGTCATGGCAGGATTAATGTACTGACCTTGAGACACCTAAATCTTCTTAAAACACAAATTCAGTGAGCACAGAAAAATCTGTTCACAAGATACTCAAAGCATGTTCTGATTCAGCTCTTCAGAAATGCAAGTTTTATTGTCCACCTGTATAGTGGGTAAGAGGATGAGTGCTATCCAACCTGCTCTCAAGATTTATAGCAGAAAGAAAAACTAGGAAATATGGAGCCATATACTTTATAGAGTAGAGAGAGATTTTGGAAATGATCTGATCCAATCAGCTATACTTAGGTGAGTAAATGATGGCCAAGATGGTTAAGCTGGATGGCTAATAAGGAGTAAGGACTAGAATTTACCCCGTGTTCTAAGTCAGAAGTTTTTCTTTTTTCACTTTGTCATAAGGTCATGGTAGCCCAAAGCAGAGCATGTAAGGATGTACATGTATATTATTTTAATTGTCTTTATATGTTTTACACTTTAGATCAAGATGGGGTTTATATTTTCAAAATCTATGAATGAAAACATGAAAAATCAACAAGAGTTCATGCTTACCCATGCCCGACTTCAGGTATGTTTTGAAACAATTAAGCTATTATGTTGTTACAATGGTTAAGTTCTACCACTTTTACTTCAGCTGTTCTTTTTGACCTTCCCCTTCCAAAAAATAAAATAAAAAAACCTAAAATGCTCTTGGGGCCTCTTCCTCAAAGACAAGATGAAATGGATTGCTAATAATCTGGTGAATGTCCTTGTTTAAGTCTCCAATCCGGACACTTGTGTCAAAATTGCCATTCTGTAGAAAGAGATAACTACTTAAGAGTATGATAGGTGGAATAATGCCCTCCTCAATATATATGTGTCCTAATTCCCAGGAACTGTGACTATGTCAAGAATGTTACCTTGCACAGCAAAAGAGATTTTATAATGTGGTCATGTAAGGAGTTTGAGGTGGGAATATTATCCTGGATTATTCAAGATAGGTCCATTGTAATCATAAGAGTAAAGAAGGAAGAGAGAGAGAGGGGAGCGATTTTAAGGTACTGTACTGTTCTACTTCTGGCTTTGAAGATGGAATCAGTTGGGATTGAGAGCTAAGGCATACAGGTAACCTCTAGAATGTGGAAAAGACAAACAAATTCTGCACTGTAGTTTCCAGAGGGACCAAGTCCTGTCAGGCCATTTTGTACTTTAAACCTCACAACTATAAAGTAATAGGTTTGTGTTGTTTTAAATCATTACATTCTTATAATTTGTTACAGTAGCAATAGGGAACTAATACAGATAATGATAACTTTACATTAGATTATACAATGAGTAGATAAAAAAGATCCAAGCACAGTAGAGGGTTGTCCAGTTGCCTAATAAAAGTTGTCAAAAAGTACATTGAAATGTAGGAATTCAAAATCAAGGGTTAAAGGTTTGACCCAAATTATTTTCTTAAGATTTTAGTTAAAGATTTCTAGGTCTTGGTTATCCTTTGTAGTGCTGGGAGTTGAAGGTTCTACTATTAGACAGTAGAGCTAGTGATTAAATGAGGACCCAAGCCAGACTGCCTGGATTTGAATCCTAGTTGCACCCATGACTAACTGTATATCTGTATAAGTACAGATCAGTCTCCTGATCTGTACTCTAGAGGTAATAACATCCCCCTCAGAGAGATGTTTTAAGGAATAAAGTCAATATATATTATATAGAACCACACCTCCAGTAGTTAGAAAAGTGCCTGTAGGCATTAGGGTATATTAGGTATTGCTGTTGTTATTGCTACTAAAGACTGATAAGAGTGTCCTGTGCAAGATAAAGATTTCTTTTGGGGGAATGGAACAATTGAAAGAATGGGAAATTGAATTATTATAACAGAGAAAAGTGACCTACAAGAGACCAAATATTAGATATTTTAATCAGTCAAGTATGTCAGATACTTAGAACATCCTGGTCAAAGATCTTTGGAAACTATAGTTCCCATGATGGTCAGGGTCTGTGAAAGGTTGGGGAATTTTAGCCTAATGGAAAACTCATTATTTAATCTGTTACAGAAGCCCAGAGACACCTAGAGCAGAGATGGAGGACTTCATTACTTATATCATAGAAAGCAGCATAATCATGAAGTTGGTGTTATTTCTCCAAGACTCATGGAGGTGACAAAGATGGGCAAGGACTAATTGGGTGCTATACAGTGGATTTGTGTCACATTTGAGGAATGTTTAGCTTCTGAAATCTACTGCATTTATAATAAGCCATGAGCAAGGAAGGGGTGAGGGCAAGAAGAGAGGAAATTTCTTTTATCTCATTCCTCAAATGGCTCACTGAAGCACAAGCAAGAAATGCCCCATGTAAAGAGCAGTTAGGGCCTTCATTCTTGACATAACCTGCAAGAATGTATAGGGACATTCTGGGCTCATCATAATACCCTGATTTGTCAGATTCTGGGAACAGCTTTGACATTTTTAACACTGATCCCAGTGACCAGGTGTTACAAAGCTGGGGCTGAGGCCAAATGGTCCCAGTGTAGACACTGGTTTTCAGCTTAGCTGAACCAAAGGTGAACCCAGGCATTTAGGGAAATATCTGTTAGTCTAGGACCCTATTGAGACGGCAATTTTGTCTTAAATGGAAGAGTGGGGTGGGGGATAAAGTTTTCCCCAGAGAGTGGTTATTACTCTTTTGTGCAAAACTGAAGTGATATTTGGATATGACCAGGCCAGTCATACTCTCAAACACATCATTGTCTTTGAAGTTTTATTTTTTAATTTATTTTTTTAGAGATACATGACAGTGGAGTGTATTTTGACATATTATACATGTGTGGAATATTAGTTATTCTAATTAGTATCTGATTCTTGTAGTTGTACATGGTGTAGAGTTTCACAGTGGTATATTTATATAGGAACATAGGGCAGTTACGTCTGATTCATCCTACTGTCTTTCCTATTCCCATTCTCCCTCCCTTCCCTTCATTCCTCATTCTAATCCACTGAACTTCTATTTTTTTCTTCTCACCTCTTATTGTGTGTTATTATCTTTATATCAGAGAGAACAATTGGCCTTTGGTACAGTATTATTTCCACTCAGCATGGTAGTCTCCAGATCCATCCATTTACTGGCAAAAGTCATCAAGTCATTCATTTTATGGCTGAATGATATTCAATTGTGTATATATATCACATTCTCTTTATTAATGCATCTGTTGAAGGGCACCATGGTTGATTCTATAGGTTGGCTATGTGAATTGAGCTGCTATAAACATTCATGTGCCTATGTCACTGGGATATGCTGATTTTCAGTCCTTTGAGTATATACCAAGGAGTGGGATAACTAGGTGAAATAGTGGCTCCATTCCAAGTTTTCTGAGGAATCCCCATACTGCTTTCCATAGTGGTTGCACCAATTTACAGTTACACTAGCAATGTATACATGAACTTTTCCCCTACATCCTCGCTAACATTTATTGTTACTAGTATTCTTTTTTTTTTTATTGTTGGTCGTTCAAAACATTACATAGTTCTTAATACATCATATTTCACAGTTTGATTCAAGCGGGTTATGAACTCCCAACTTTAATTGCCATTCTGATTGGAATGAGATAGAATCTCAGTAGAGTTTTGATTTGCATTTCTCTAATTGTCAGAGGTGTTGAACATTTTTTCAAATATTTGTTGATTGATTATTTCTTCTGTGAAGTGTCTGTTCAATTCCTTAGCCCATTTATTGATTGGGTTACTTTTATTTTATGATTTTTTTTGAGTTCTTTATATATCCTCGAGATTAATGCTCTCTCTGAGGTGCATGTGGCAAATATTTTCTCCCATTCTGTAGGCTATCTTTTCACATTTTTAATTGTTTCCTTTGCTGTGAAGAAGCTTTTTATTTCGAATCCATCCCATTTTTTGATTCTTGATTTTACGTCTTGTGCTGTAGGAGTCTTATTGAGGAAGCCAGTTCCTAAGCTGACATGATGGAAAGTTGGGCCTACATATTATTCTAGTAGGCCCACTGGTCTATTGGCTAGGACCTAGAAAATGAACTTGCTTTGCTCAAACCAGCCAGTTTATGGCCCTTCTCTTGTTACTGCAGTTGTGGCTAAACATTACCAAGAGTATTTGGTGCTATTTCCAGCAGGTGGCGCTGTTGTACAAGGCAACGAGCCTCTTTGCAGGTCACCTTTCATTTTCCCTATTTTTCCCAGGGATCTTACAATGTTTCTGTAAGACCACCTGGGAGGGGGTCGGACATTCAGATCCTCTGGTTCACTATGGGTTTTATAATACAAACATGTAACACATCAATTTCATAAAACATTTATATGCAGTGGGAAAGGGTGGATATTCAGTACAGTATCTTGAATTGGTTCAAGGTCCCTCTAATTTCCCTTCTTCACTGTACACTTTGCTCAAACTTTACCAGTTGAATCCAAGTGTTCCTCAACACCCACCTCCCTGCCCAGTTAGTACACAAAAAAAGAGTTTAACGTGAGTATTTCAGGGGTTATCATATCAGGAGAGTAGGCAGGCAGGGGAGATCAGGAGTACACAAGGGTAGGAAGGACTTTTTGTTCTTTGGCTCCTCATCACAGAATGGACACTCCTCTGTGCCTTTGGTTGTGTTCAGGGGAATTGACTTTTTAGCTTTCATTGGTGTCACAGTGCTTCCCAGTGGTCCTTGGTAACCTGGGCCATCTTGGTGCATAACACAACTCTTTCCATGGGACCAAGTAGACTCTGGCACCTGCAACCAACAGAGCCATAAAAAGTTGGGTCCTTCCTCAAAGTTCCCCATCACAACCAGACTTCTTCCTGAAAGATCTCAAGTTGGGGAGGAGAGTATACAGAATGAGGTTCTGAGGGCAAGGAAGTTGAGAAACAGCTTGGCACAGGAAAGCAAGTTTTTGTATTTACTTTTAGTTTCAAGTGGCCTCTTGCCACAGCTCAGCAAATACATTTCTAATGATTTCAGTTGACCCAAAGTTATATATACTCATCCTTGACACCATTTATTTAGGCTTCAGGGACCTCTTGCTTCAGCAGCTGCAGCCACATCATGTTGCCTTTGGCTGTGGAACCTGCTGCCCTATTGTCATAAGAGCATCCTCCCTTTCACCAACCCTAAAGGAAAGCATTGCTATAACTCAAGAACTATTTGGGCAGCTTGTTTCAACCCTATATGATTATTTATTTATTTATTTATTTATTTGCAATGCTGGGGATGGAGCCCAGGTCCTAGTGCAAGCAGGGCAAGTACTCACCACTGAGCTATATCCCCAGCTTTCAACCCTAAATTTTGTTGCTCAGTGTCACTCAACACACAGGACAGTGTGTTACTTTACCCTCCTGTCCATGAGAGGAGAGAGAATTTGTTATGAGATCTTAGGTATTTTACTCACACCCTCTAACTCAAACAATGAGAGCCATTGTCTTTTTCAGAAAGCCATATCTCAATCATCATCTCATTCTTGTTGCCCAAACTGGTTTTTACCTGACTTGTAAATTAACAAGTTAGCTTGTCATGATTTTACAGATGCTTGTTGAAGACCTTATTCTCACAGCACAGCACGCAGCATGTTGGCAGCAG